TCAAAATATTTCTCTGATGTATTAAAGATCTGCCAAAATGTCTTCACAATTTAGTTAACAAGGAAAAGACAATGAAATTTGACACTGTGTATCTTGCAGGCAAGCTTCTCATTAAACATAAAAATCTAACCAACAGGAGTCAGTTTTTGATGTCAGACTTTTATTTAGTTTAAATAAAATTTCACTTTCCAATTGACTGCAGTCTAACCCAAACCTAAAACCTTTCTACATACATACCTTATTAAACCTACTCTACTCTCACTCACTAAAGGATAAAAGACATTTTTTAAGCTCTGATTGTCTAAATGGCATGTTGCAATGCCAGAGAGGCTCACCATATTACTTCTGTTGTCAGATCACTACACTGGCTACCAGCCTATTACAGAATCAACTGTAAATTCTATTGCTTGTCCATAAATCACTGAACTGTTTAGGTCCAAGATATTTGCCAGATCTCATGACCCAGCATGACCCACACAGACCTCTGAGGTCATCTAGTTCTGGATTACTGGTTATTCCCAGAATAAAAACTAAGCATGGTGAAGCTTCCTTTAGTTTCTGTGCTGCCCAAATGTGGAACAGATTGCCAGAAGAGGAAAGACTTAAAACAAAATTGAGCACTTTCAAATCCAAGCTAAAGACCTATCTCTTTGTCATTGCTTTTAATCAATACAATCCTAAAATGCCACTCTCCTGAATATTTAAAAAAAAAAAACAAAAAAAAACAAAAAGGTGGTCAGGACTTCCACTTATCTAGCACATCTACCAGTGATGCTCTTTCTCCCCTCTCTTCCCTCATAAAAATGAGGGAGTGGGGGGAGGTAGAATGTACAACCCGGTCTGGCGGGGGAGTGTTCAGTCTGCATAGATGTCACTCCTTGGCTCTGCCTTCCCCATGCTCTCTGACTTTTCTATCCATCTAATTTCAATCTAATCCCTAAATACTAAACACACTTATGCCACTTATACTCAGTCTATGTGATCATAAATAGGTATATGTACTGAATGTTACACGTGTCTGTGTTCTCCATATGTATTATGTCACTCTAGCATATTTTGCTAATGTTGCTTATTATTGTTTTACTTTTGTATGTGTCTAATTTTTCGTTTGTAATTCTTTGAATGTAGTTTAACTCACCTGTATATTTTTGTTGTTTCTGCTGATGTTGCTCTCTGCTGTTTCTCGGCATGACCTTCACCCCACCATTATTATTCCCCCCGTGTCTGCGTGGGTTTTCCCAGGGCACTAGGTTTTCCCAGGGCACTGTCTCTATGTGTTAGTCCTATGATAGTCTTGCGACCTGTCCAGGGCTGCACCCCGCCTCTCGCCCAATGTCAGCTGGGATAGGCTCCAGCCCCCCAACCCCTAACAGCATAAGCGGTTACCTAAAATGAATGAATGAATGAATGAATGAATGATCTGATTAGTTCATGACATCTATTGCATGTCTGTCCATTCTTAAAGAGGTTCTTTTAGGAGGAATTTTTCCTTATCTGCTGTGATGGTCCAAAGACAGGATGTCATATGCTGCCCTTTTAAAGCTAACTGTCTTTGCTGCTCTGATTTGTGCTAAAGACATCTTTTTATTCCCTGTTCCCCAGCCCTTACTCTAACCATCTGCTTTAACTGTCTAAGCTCAACCCTAACCAGAACCATATCCTAAACCTGACACCCTGTTCACAAAGACAGCATTGTGACTAATTGATCCTGCTAATAAAACTACTGTATTTCCACAATTAAAAGCCAGTACTCAACTAATTTATGGAGCCTTGCAAACCACTGCATTGTCAACAACATGGTCATACAAATATTTGACTATGAAAAGCCTTGTGATAACAAACGAAGGGACTCTGTCCACAGAAACATTGTCAGAGGGATTTTATTTTAAAGAGGTACAAGAAATTTGAGTTTAAAAATAAATATTTATATTTTTCATGTCTGTGACAGATGTAGACATTGAAACTGTAATGAAAGGTGGCATGACATCAATATATTTATCAAACGACTATTTTCACTGTCTCTTTTTGCTGGAAACCAGTCCTACCAAATCCTATTCTCTAGATGTTCTGCAGCTGAGCATCAGTCAAGCCGCTGAGAAAAAAAATGCTATGTAGACACAGAGGTTCCACAACGCAATCCAAACCTTTACACTACTTTTTTGAAACAGGGAGGATCGGCCAAAATGTCCTCACAATATGACTTGAAAGGAAAGTGCAATGAAATTTGAAACTGTGTATCTTGCAAACAAGCTTCTCGCAAAACATTAAAATCTAACCAACAGGGGTCCATTGTTGAGCTCTGACTCTTGTTTTGTTCAAATGACCTTTCCCCTCCAGTTGACTGGAGTTTAACCCAAAACTAAAGTCTTTTTACATGTCGACATACAGTAAGTAACCTAGATTGATTGAAAAAGAAAAGGCTGAAGCACAGCTCAGCGGAGTACAGCTCATTTCTGTATAACCTACTCTACTCTTCCAACCTAAGAGATAGAAGTTATACTTCTAATTGTCTAAATGGGATGTTGCAATGCTGTTTGGCTTCTGTGATTTCCCTCTATTAGCCATTTTCAAAAATATTTCCCATGTCCGCTGTCTGAATAAGACAGAAAAATTGCAATGTCTACAGCATTTAATCAGCAGTACACAAAAGGATGATCATGCCACCCAAAATCTGTAATATGTAGTGCTTTTATTAATCTTATTTAATAATTTGCTTTGCCAGCTTGAATGGTAATGTGCATTTGAAATGACAGTTTATTGTTATATTTGTCTGAATGGCTTTGTCATACAGTATGACAACATGAGGAGCAGATGTTGATGGAGGAAGACAATGACAACACAGGAGCTGGCGGAGGATGGGGATCTAAAATAAAACCTGTGCCTCCAGCCAACAAGAAAGGTAATATTTTAAACAAGAATTGATTGAACAGTAACATTTGGTAGATTATATTTCAGTTTCAAACACTATAAATAATAATTAAAATGGATCAAATTAATGATATGAATGTAAAAATTAGTTTAGCATTTCTGCTAACTCTGGAAAACTTTCATGATTACTGCAGTGTGACATAGTGATGTTATTCTCTGTTTATCTTTGTTTCAGTGATACCTGAACTCACACTGGTGTTAATTGGTGATACAAATTCCATTGAGATTGGATCAAAAAACATCTTACTTGACCATGACGAGCAAACAAATGTGGAAGAGTTTTCAACCAAACTGTATGATCTGTGTGGTCGGCACATTTCTGTCATTAACATGCTTGGCCAACAAAACATTGACAAATTCCCATTAAATCAGGAAATTCATGAGTTTCTCTTACTATTACCAAATGGTCTGCATACAAGCCATTACAGTTCAGGAGTGCAGTGGTTAGAAAAGGCTTTTGGGAAAGGAATACTTTCTTATGTAATGACAGTTGTGACTCATGACTCAGATGAAAAATGTAAAAGTGCACTGACTGATCTGAAAGCCCACAGCAGTTTCGTTGAAAAAAGATACCACACATGTACAAGAAGTATGATGGATGAAAATGAGATAATAGCTCTCCTTGAAAAAATAGACGCCATGGTCTTTGAAAATGATCACCAGTGCTACAGTGGACTGTGTGATGAGAAAAAAGAGCAGAAAAAACACCTAGACCACAAAGCCCACAAAGGAGAAAGGATCGATTCCTCAGTGTTTCAGCAAAATCAAATAGGTGAGATTTTAATGTTGACATTCCCAGATTACACCTACACTGCGTCTTAAAGACAATGGGTAAAAAACAAAGATTTGATTTTGAACATCTTAAAGGAGTAGGTGTGCCTAATGGCTAATTATAGCCTTTGGGTTTTCTATATAAACATCCTTAAAAACATGCACAGGTACCTGTTAAGTCAATAAAAAATAAAAAAATAAAATAATAATAATAAAAATAAAATTATTAATTTCTAGACCTGCAAAGTATTTTAATATTTGAGCACAAGAGTTTGGTAGTACTAATTGTTCTGAAACATACACTTGCTTTTTCAAAGGAAGTGTATCAGTTACTACAAACCTTCTTAATTTATATATAATTTATATAATGTGGCTCATAGAGGTCAAATTCAAGGTCATAAAATATAGACACTAATAAGTTTTCATGCACAATTTTTGAATCTCCACTTGAGAAAATAAAAATAAAAATCCATAATTTCAAGAATTAATGCCTATTAATGCTGAACAGTGTGATTTCAAGGGTTGTGCACAGGGTGTGAAAGGTTAATTAAAACATCTATGATCTGTTATGAAAAAATAATCATGACAGTGATCTCTCTTGAATTTCTCCAAAATACTCTTGGGTGTCCTCATACTACTGACCATGCCAGATTAATTCACTTGTGTATGAGGACTCCTGTACAAAGGTATCCTGCAACTGTTGAGTCTCCAATTGCACAGCGCAACCTAAACCACTTTACATAAGTTACACAACCAACCAATACATGTCCAACACTGAGAAACTGTCTAACATTAAAGTATATATGTCAAATAGCTAAAGGTGCAAAGTAAAAATAATGACAATAATAATAATAACAATAATGACAATAATAATAACAATAATGATGATAATAATAATAATAATAAAATTCTACATATTTTCAATATTTTCTTTGAGGTATTAAAACATGACGTTTGTTTGTGATATGATATTGTGTCAGCGCAACCACGATAAAATCATCTGCAGAAGTAAATGGAATTCAACACAGAAAATCTGCAAATATATTGAATAAAGGATGGTTTGCTAATCCAATGTTATTCTCTAAACCCTGACCTTGTGCAATCTGCTTTTTTCTTTGTGATACAGTAGAAGAGATGGAGAATGTAGCTGAAATCAAGGTGAAGGTAAGATCATTAGTGATCGTCATTAAAGACCAGAATTTTTACTTTATATCTTGTATGACATTATAATTTTCTACATACAGTACATGTATATATTTTGTTTTACAGCAGTCAGTGAAGAGCTCTGAAGAGATCAACAGAAAGAAACAATATCAAAGAGAAACTGAAACACTGCTTGGCAGACTTCACCTTCACGACACACATCAAAAGAAATTGTCACCAGCAGATTTTCTTAAAGTAGGTCCACTTGTGAAACAGGACCATGGCACATCAGAAAAAGAACTCGCTCATACTTTTCTTCAGAGGTTGATGATGTTAGACTACAGAGCCAGATATATTCCTGTAAGACAAGATAGAGATGAGGTGACCCATTCAAAGCCTGTTCTAGAGTGGAACACTGGTGACACAGACGACGATGATTTAGATGCTCTTTTTAGCACCACTGTAGACTTTGACCAATCAAGACAGACTCACGTGCATCCAATGGATGTTCAAATGGCCGTATATCACTGCTCAGACAGCTTTTTCAAGCAGAACATGATTACAAAGCTATCACAATGTCAGTATGCCTTACCTTTGCTTGTTCCTGACCCAGTCACAATGGAAATTGAATGTCCTCTGTGGACTTTCAGGCAAATAAGAAAAACATGGAGGGTAACTGAAATCAAAGATAATTCAAACACCGTCACCATGAAGAGCATGCCCATCTGCAAAGCTGAGACACCCATGGTGTCATTTCTCCGCCTGGGTTCACTATCTCTGTCTAAGTCACAGCTGATTAACACTTTGATCAATGAACGTCACAGCACCTTCTTCCACAGAAACTGCCCAGGTAGCACCAAGTCTCGCCATATGATGGATGGTGTGGCAGAGATTGCCTGGTACTGCCCTGCTGGAAAACCCAATGATGCCTTCATTGACTGCATTGCCTTCTGTAATCTTCATGGTGATGCTCAGTTAATTGCAAAACAGCGTGACATACTGACTGGCAAATCTTCAGTCAATGTCATTCTTGTACCAACTTTGGGAAAAGGTGACAAAAGTACCACAGTTATCTCAGCCCTTTACAAGTCTCCAAAGCCTCTCATAATTCTCATTGCTGATAATGATGGTGGTGCAGTTCAGATGAAAGAGGGAAAATACAAAATGGGTCTTCGAGACAGAAGTCAGTCAGATGTGTCTGAAGAACTGACAAAAATCATTGGAAGAATTTTGTCAGGACCACATGCATCCTTCCGGCTTGAAACCATGGCTGAAGTCTCTGGAATCAGAGTGGATGAAGATGACAAAGTCTGCCAAAAAGGAAAGTCTGCTGCGATGAAAACTGTCAACTTGCTTCAGGGGATGGATGTTTCAAAGATCAAAGATACATTTCTCCCTTGTCAAGGCCAACTGTGGCACAAGTGGTGCAGAATAAACAAAGAACTGTATCACCTCAAAGGACACATTGAGAAGGAGAAATGTAAAAAGCAAAAGGAACTGATGCGAATACGACAAGATCAATGCACTGCTTCCTGTAGTAAACCAATGAAGTTGTTCACTGAAACCCTCTCGTCGTTGCCATCAACAGAAAGAGAGTATTTCCTGAGGTGGACTCAAATTTTGATTGATGCCCTCTCCACAGATGATCTGTCTTTAATTTTACAGAGCTATGATGAAAAGTGGTCTGAGGTCTTGGCTTTGAAAAAGAAGCATGACAAATCTGATCTGTTAAAAAGAAAGCAAACTGAGCTTGAACAAATATCAACAAAACTACAGTCTGCCACTTTTGGCTTAGAGCACATCATAAGAGAAATGGGACAGATCTATGAAGCCCATGCATCTCTGCAGAAACAAACAACGAGGGGACAAACTGACTGGTCTAAATACCCTGAGCTGGCTGCAGAGCTGATGATATCAGGACACCCAATGGAGCTGATGGATGGTGATGCAGGTCATGTACCTTAAAAATGGATCTCTAGTCTTTTAGATGAGGTCATCAAGAAACTGGGCGACAAGAGAGTTTTTGTTTTGTCAGTGCTGGGTGTACAAAGCAGTGGAAAATCAACAATGCTGAATGCCATGTTTGGGTTACAGTTTGCAGTGAGTGCTGGCAGGTGCACCAAGGGTGCCTTCATGCAGCTGGTCAAAGTTTCAGATGAGATCAAGAAAGACTTTAAATTTGACTACATTATAGTGGTGGACACTGAAGGACTGCGCGCTCTTGAGTTGGAGGGTAACACCAGTCTTCACCACGACAATGAATTGGCAACATTTGTTGTTGGTCTGGGAAACATGACACTAATCAACATCTTTGGAGAAAATCCATCTGAAATGCAAGATGTTCTGCAGATTGTTGTTCAGGCTTTCATGAGGATGAAGAAAGTTCAACTTACTCCAAGTTGTGTGTTTGTTCACCAGAATGTTACAGATATTACAGCTGCAGAGAAGAACATGCATGGAAAAAGGCAGCTGCAAGAAAAACTGGACAAGATGGCCCAACTAGCAGCCAAAGAGGAGGTTTGTGATGCTGAGTGCTTCAGTGACATCATTGCATTTGATGTACAGAAAGACGTGAAATACTTTGCCCAACTATGGGAGGGAAGTCCACCTATGGCTCCTCCAAATCCAGGTTACAGTGAGAGCGTCCAAGAGCTGAAGAAAATCATCCTCTCAAAAGCTTCACAGTCAGCTGGAATTACTCTCTCACAGTTCAAAAGCAAAAATCAGGACCTGTGGAATGCACTAATGAATGAACAGTTTGTTTTAAGTTTCAAAAACACACTTGAAATAGCAGTGTACAGAAAACTTGAGGTTCAGTATGGGAACTGGACCTGGGCCCTGAGGAGCAACATGTTGACTATTGAGAATGGGCTTTACACCAGAATTGAAAATGGAAAACTTGACAAGGTTGAGCTCAGTTATCTTCATAAGGAAATGAACGCAACGTACGGAGAAATAAAAAAAGCAATGACAGCATACTTTGATGATGAAAGAGACAAAGAAATACTGGTTCAGTGGCGAGGACGATTCGAAAGCAAAATCAAGGAGTTTCATGATGAACAAGTGAGAGGAGTCAAAAGAAAACTGGATGAAGTAATTGAGCAGAAAAATGCTTGTAAAAAGCTTGATGATAAGAAGACAGAGTTTGAGAACAAACTGCTACAAAAGAGCAAAAAGCTTGCTCATCAGTTAAAGGACAAGGCAAAAGATGAAGAGGAACTTAAAAAACAGTTCAACTCTGTTTGGAGTGGTTGGGTTCGTGAGGTAACTGCAGGTACAAAACCTATTGAGGACATCAGCTATGAAGGAGATCTGACAATTATCCTTCAGGAGCTTGGTTTTGAATGGTCTCTTATCGCTGAATCTGAAAGCAGTGGCAGGTACAAACAAATAGCAGAGGTGGGTGATTACATTCATTATGTGGCTCTCAGCAAGGACAGGGATAAAGAAAATTGTTCTAGTCCTGCAAACAGATTCTTTGAATTTGTTTCAGAAACAACTACAAAAGCAGAATATTACCTTAAGGGGTATTTTCAGTATGAAGAACAGAAACTGATCAGATCCCTCATTGACAGCATTGAAAAACAGTCCCTTGATGCAATCAAGAACAAACCTGTCGCTACAAGAGGCTACAGTCCAATTTACTTGCAAGAAGTGGCCAACAATGTCAAAGAAAATGTGACAAAATTTGAATCAAAGAGGAAATATGCTCTAAAGAAGGAGTTTACAGTTGATCTTTTACTGTTTGTGTTTGACAAGGCAGGAAGATGGCTTTCAGAGTCCCATAAGAAATTCAAAATGGACAATGATGCAGTCACTTATGTAGAAAGCAAGAAAATGCAATATTACAACATTTTCAGAAGCTTCTGCAGAGGAAGCTCATCTGCTGTTGTGTTTGGAGAACTGATCTGTGAGAAACTGAGTAGTTCCACTGTTGAGGCCGTCTGTAACAAGACTGCTATTGATCTTGCTGGAGAGATGAAGTGCAGTTTCCCAGCATTCAGTGGGAACAGGTTGAACTTGGAGAAACACGTGCTGAAATCACTGGCTGAGAAAGAGGACTTTGGTGGTTTTATCACCTACATCCGACACCCAAGGAGCCAAGCAGAGACTTTCATAAGAGAGGAAGTACAAAAATACATCTTCACAGACAACAAAATTAAAGCACAGAAAATACTAAAAAAAAATGCTGAAGACATCAGTAAGCTTGTGAGTCGAGCTTTATTCACTGCAACAGAGAAAGTCAAAATCAAGAGAGGAGGCTCAGAAATGTGGATAAAGGAGTTTTCCAGTTTGCTAAAAGATGAGCTAACATTTGACACCATTTGCTCTCAGAACTTCAGTGACATAAACAATTTTGACTTCCTTAAAGAAGAGACAGAGAAAGGCCTTGTATCTGTCATAAAGGAAGTGAGCAACCTCTCGCTGGACAAGATGGAGGAATTCAGGCTGAAACCCGATCAAATTCTCATCGATCAACTGTGCAACTGCTGCTGGGTAACATGTCCTTTCTGTGCAGCTGTTTGTACCAACACGCTGGGAAATCACAGTCCCGATGACCACAGCGTGCCTTTTCATCGATCTCCTGCAGTCAATGGTATGCACGTAAGAAACTCAGTGGAAATGGTTGTTGAGTTCTGCACAACAAATGTTGCAAGTGATTTAAGCTTTTACCCTGATCAAGTTTCAGAAGAGCTTATTCCCTACAAGAAGTACCGTACTGCTGGCCTCTATTATGCAAACTGGAGAATCACCCCTGATGAGTCCAAGCTGAAATATTGGACATGGTTTGTGTGCAAATTTCAGAATCAACTGGAGGACTACTATAAATTAAAATTCCAAGGCATTGGTGAAATTCCCAGCGAGTGGAGAACACACTCCAAGGAAGATGCCATTAAAAGTCTGGATGAAATGTTCAATCTGTGAGCCAACACCACCACAACCCTGCTGAAAGTCATGATAATGGACATCAACAGTCATAAATCAAATGCTTAGTTGCTTAGTTAGTGTTTCTGAAAATGAAAACTGCTTCTGTGAAGGTTAAGCAGAACACCATATATGTTTTTTTAAAGAGAGAGAGCAAGGACTGATGAAATTCTAAAACTGTTGCATTTCAAAATACACAAAATTTGAAGTTCTCAAGTGTTCTCAAATGAACACTGAAAGATTTGTGAAAGAGTGGGTGAAAGACAACTATTATGTTGTAACTAATAGAAGGAATATTTCTTTGCTAAACTGTATTATTATCTACTTGTAAACTGCATCTGAAAATTACGTCAAACAAGTGTTGTCAGTATTTACACACGTCTTTTTATAGGAATTATTGTGTTAAAATGCTCATGGTGCTCGTAGCTGCCAAAATATAATGAAGGATATGCATAATGAAGTATAACCTAACAGTGACTGATGTGAAACTGTATTATCATGTAATGATGAAAGCCTGGAGAGGTAGTAGGCTTCTGTTTATAAGCATGTGCCTGTGTGTGACAAAGAATGATATACAAGTATAATGTGCAATGTAACCAGTTCTTCCATCTCAAAAGCGTCTTCTCCAGACACACATGGAAGCTTTTGTTTGCAAGCAATAAGTAATCCTTATGAATAAGCTGCCTGTCATTGAAATTAATTAAATTAATTGCCAGCTTTTATTGTCATCGAGGACCACAATGGAAATAAGCCTTTGGACTTTATTGTGTATTTTAATCCTCAACAATTTTTAATTAATGTATATGAAACTGATCTGCAGTTACTCATGTATGTTTTTTTAAATGTTGTCAAATATACCTACCTATACCTACCTACCTACCTAATAAGGGTTAAAGACAGATGTTTCAGTATTGATTGCTCTTCATTTCACCCTAAGTAGATGCAACATGTTTTCTGTTTGCCAGTCTGTTTGACAGTCTCTACATTTCAGATTTAGTCATGTTGAAGAATATTTCAAAAATAGCTGATAAGGATTCTTTGTGTTTCTGAAGCATTTGAAGTGTTAAGATGTGTTATGTTCATTTTATTTCAACCAATCTGTATTACATCCACACCTGTATGAGTTGTTTTTTATTATATTCTTGCTTTGTTCTTAATATCCTGATATCCAGAAGTGATGTAAACAATGTTAAGTTGTTGAAAAGACATCTGCTGAGTTTCACATCTCATGTACTAAATAAATAACTACTTCATATCTACTGAAAGGCTTCTTTGTGTTTTTTAATTGACAATCTAATTTTCCACCTTCATATTAATGTTTTTTCATAGTATCATTAGATCCTGGAGTATCACCTGTAGCTGTATGAATATTATATTTCTTAATGAGTACTGCTATGTTGTTCAATACAGGACATTTGACAGAAACATTTTTCAAACCTAAATATTTATGCTGTGAATAGATTAAAAACTTGTTTTTAGAGAATTTACCTCTTAACATCAGATTATTCCTCAATTCAAGTTCCTAAGAAAAACAATAATGCAGCAGTTTCAGTGGGAACATGTTACAGCACACTGTGCAATACACACATACATCATGAGAACAATTTCCATCCTGGTGCAAGATGATTTTAATGAACTGCAAACACAGTTAAAGAATATCCTAGATGAGTACCAGCCTTCTTGTTTGCTGCTATCATGACTGTTTTATTATCAGGTGCCTCCTAAAACCAGGACTAAAGCCAAAAGTAATTCAGCAAGTTACACTGTACAAGTGAAACTGTTGTAAAATAACATGAATTTCCCAGACAGAATGTGAAATGTGCAGCCTACTGCTATTACAAAAGACTGCTTGTATCAGAAAACAAAATCTGTCTGTAACATTACAACATTTTACATGAGACTACAATAAAAATGTCAGTTCACCAGCATAAAGTCATATGGCTAACATAAACATGCACAACATGCCTAGAGTGAACCCTAGCTATTTAAGACTGCATTAGTTAGCTGTCTTTTTTCTGACATAAATGACTCCCTAAATATAAAAACATGCCACCACAAATAAGAATAAACTGAAACTAAATGTATACTGTGCCTGCGCACTTTATGTAACATAAAAACGCAATGGTCTTCAATGAATGTGAGCTTTTTTGTTTGCTGCTATCCTGACTGACATATGATCAGACTGGGCTAACTCACAATCAAAAGAAATTAAGTTACACAATACAACTAAAACTGTCAGTAAATCAAATTAATCATCAAGACATAATATAAAATGTGCAGCCTGCAGCATGGTTTGGGGCTGCATGAGTGCTGCCGGCTCTGGGGAGCTCGGTTCATTTAGGGAAACATGAATTCCAAGCAGAGTATGATCGCCCCTCTTCAGAAACTGAGCTACAATGCAGTTTTCCAACATGATAATGACCCAAAACACACCTAAAAGATGACAATTGCCTTGCTGAGGAAGCTGAAGGCAAAGGTGAGGGAATGGCCAAGTATGTATCCAGCCCTAAACTCACCTGTGCACCTGTGGGGCATCCTCAAGCTGAAGGTGGAGGAGCGCAAGGTGTCTTCACATCCATCTGTTCCATGATGTCATCATGGAGGAGTGGGAGAGGATTCCTGAAGCAACCTGTGAGCTCTGGTGAATTCCATGCCCAAAAGGGTGAAGGCAGTGCTAGATAATAATGGTTAGCACACAAAATATTGACACTTTAGGCACAATTTGGACATGTTCACTGTGGGTTGTACTCACTTATGTTGCCAGCTGTTTAGATGTTGATGGCTGTGTTTTGAGTAATTTTCAGAGGAAGGTAAATCTATACTACTATACAAGCTGTACACTGACTACTTTAAGTTATATCAAAGTGTCATTATAGTGCTGTCCCATGAAAAGATATAATAAAATAATTCCAAAAATGGGAGGGGTGTAGTCACTTATGTGAGATACTGTATATGGTGCAGTTGTGCACTTTTCTTACATGTAAATACCATTGTCTTGGATGAATATGTGCTTTCTTGTTTGCTGTTATCCTGGTCGGGTAACGCTCAGACTGGTTAACTTCCTTCGAAAACTAGGATTACAGACAAAAGTAATTCACTGAGATTAACAATATCACTAAAATTTTCATAAAATGAAATAAACTACCAGGACACAATATGAAATGTGCAGCCTACTACTACTACTACTACTACAAAAGACTGCCTACATCAGCCAGTGAATAATGTATTTGTCCGTAACATTACATCTTACATGAAAAATAAGACCAAGATCAGTTTACTTGGGTAAAGCCATACAGCTAACATTAGAGTGCACAGCATGCTTAGAGTCGGCCCTAGCTAGTTAAGATAGCATTAGTTAGCTGTCTTATGTTCGAACATAAATGATTCCACGAACATTAAAACAAGGTAATACAAATGAGAATGAACTTTGAATGTATATGGTGCAATTTTGCACTAACCTGTAAAAACTGTGGTTTTGAATGAATATGGGCTTTCTTGTTTGATGCTATCCTGACTATCATATGCTCAGGCTGGGCTAACTTCCAACGAAAACCAGGATTACAGCCAAAAGAAATTCAGCAAGTCACACAATACAACTCACTCAACTGTCATGAAATTAAATGCCGTACCAAGGCACACACAAAAGACTGCTTATATCAGCCACTGAATATAACGTTAGCATGTTTCTGTAACATTACAACATCTTACACAATAATAAATTCAGTTCACCACTTTAAAGCTATACAGCTAACGTTAACATGCACAACATGGCTACAGTAGCTAATTAAGCTAGCGTTAGTTAGTGGCTTTATTTTCTAATATGCTACTACAAAAGTCTGCTTACATCGCAAAGTGAACACTGCATTTGTTTTTGAAACTTCATCTTCTCACATTGGAATACAGTTATAACATCAGTTTACTAGAGTAAAGCCATACAGCTAATATTAGCGTGTACAACATGCCTAGTGTCAGCCTTAATTAGTTAAGATAGCATTAGTAAGCTTATTTTCAAACATAAATAGCTCCCTAAACATAAAAACATGGCACAACATATGAGAATAAACTTTGAATGTATATGGTGCACTTTTCTCACCTGTAAACACCGTAGTCTTCGATAAATATGGGCTTTCTTGTTTGCTGTTGTCTTGTCTTATGCTCAGACTGGGTTTATGGTAACTTCTTCAGAAAACAGGATTATGGCCAAATGTAATGCAGGAAGTTACCCAATATGACTAAAACATAGAATTAAATTACTTACCAAGACACACATAGAAGACTGCTTTTATTATTTTCACAATAATAAATTCAATTCACCACTTTAAAGCTTTTCAGCTAACGTTAGCGTGCACAACATGGCTAGAGTAGCTAATTAAGCTAGCATTGGGTAGCTACTTTATTTTCTAACATAAATGACTCCCTGAACATAAAAACATGGCACAACATATGAGAATAAACTTAACCCAAATGTATAAAGTGCAATTATGCACTTTTTACACCTGCAAACACAGTAGTCCTGGATGAATGTCATTTTTTTGTTCGCTGCCATCCTAACTGTCGTATGCTTAGACTGGGCTAACGTCTGTTGAAAACCACGATTACAGCCAAAAGTAATTCAGCAAATTACACAATATCACTAAAACTGTCATAAAATTAAATGACTTACCAAGACACACCCAACAGACTGCTTATATCTGCCACTCAACACAGCATTCATCTGCAACATATAAACACAATTATGAAATCACCTCACTACCATAAAGCTATACAGCTAACGTTAGCATGCGCAGCCTAGCTAGAGTAGCTACTTCAGATAGCATTAGTTAGCTGCCTTATTTTCTAACATAAATGACTCGAAACATAAAAATATGGCAGCACAAATGTGAATAAACTTGTACATGAATGTATATGGCACTTTTCTCACCTGCAAACACAGAAAGAAGACAGTCTTCGACGAATATCAGCCTCTTTGTTTGCTGCTGCTGAAGAATAACAGCGGTCACCTACATAGTAAAGCCACTACTGCCATCTATGGGCGAAAAAGAAAAACGCCCTTGAGCGACTTAACTTGAGAGCAGGTGAGTTTTCTTTTACAGTTTTACCAGCAACACAAAAGGTTTTAAGTGATAACAACCGAAAAAATAAAATAATAATAATAAATAAAAATAATAACAATAAATAATACATCTCTTTATCTGGATAGGGACAGTGCAAATTAATGAACATCGATCATACATCTCTGTAAGCTGCTAATTTGCATTCGTAGTCCCTAATAAATAAATAAATAAATAGATAAAATACAAATGGAGGAGACAGCGGATAAATAAATAAAATACAAATAGAGGAGACAACAAACACAAGACAATTCATTATACAAACAGAAGGATACCAGACCCAGACAGGATAAAACAAATAATAGAAAACAATGTTCAAGTAGACTCCAATTAGTGGTCGCACTTTTGATTTGATCTGAGCCATTGTTTAAGATGTCCTCTAAAATAAGAGTATGTGGGGCATTCCCTTATTGTGGAAGGAAGACTGTTCCAGATGTTCCCCCCCATAACAGACAACACATTTCTCCCAAACCTAATGCACCTGTGGGGAATCTCACAGTCTCCTCTAACACAAGTCCTGGTGCTCATACCTCCCACAGTCCTTTTCCTAATAAATCAGTTCAGCGGCGGTGGAGCAAGACCATGGAGACTTTTATACACAAAGCAGGCAAATCTAAAGGTTTTAAAATTATGGAAACTTAAAAAATTGTGATTTTTGCGGGTCTTGCAGATATGGAAGGAGAAGGGGTTTTTATACAGAGTCTTTAGGGCTTTCTTTTAGAGAGATTCTTTTGGTTTAAGTGCTGTTGTACATGCCAGAGACCAGTTCGTTAAGCAGTAGTCTATATGTGAGAGGATCATACAATGTAAAATCATCAAAACTGCACTGGTAGTTAGAGGATTCCTGATCTGTCTGAAATTAGCCAGGTTGTATTTGACAGAGTTAGACACTTTTTTGATGTGTTTCTTGAATGAGAGTGTCGAGTCCAGGATGACCCCCAGGTACCTGAACTCATTCACCAAAGCGAGCTCCTCCCCTCCCAGAAACACACCAGAATGATCAATCTTTGTCGGCTTTTTAGCAAAAATCACACAGACACTTTTTGACACAATAACAGTCAGAGGACCAAGATAATAACACAGACTGATACAACAGTAATTCTGGGCATAGTCTGAATCACAAAAATGTCCAGAGTGCCACATGTGCAT